GTGGTGTGGTACCAAACCTTCAGACACCAGGTTTCATCAAGGAAAGCCGAACCGGTGGCCCCTTTTCTTTAGCTTAAAGCAACCCAGGTCCCCACAAAGATTGCTTCAGTGTGGCTGCCGAACAGGTTCACAAACTGGGCATTGCAAGCAGGCTTTGTTTTTAATTAATACCGACGCAGTGACTGCGTTTCTAGGGGAGTCCAGGCGGCGAGGCACAATCAGGACATTGTTTGTATGCAGCGGCCATTAGGGACGGCCTTGGCCGTGGGGGTTTCGTTGCACATGGATGAAAATAGGCTGCTGACGCCGAGTTTCCTCCTGCACAGCCTTGCCTCCCTGGCATTTGCACCGCGGTGCGTGGCTGAGAGCAGGGCCCTGTGCCCGGCGAAGCCCTGCAGAGCCCTGCAGCAAGGGGATGGCTTGGGACAGCCTTTCCTGGGCAGGTCCCCAGGACCAGGTGCTCAGGTTTTGATTGACGTCTTTCACAACGTGTTTTAACCCAAGTCTCTTGAAATGTTCTAATCAGAAGAAATCTAGTTAACACAAAAAAAAAAAAAAATCATATTTTTGCACTTGTGCAGCACTTTTTTTGTAAATGTGGCTTGTAGAAAAATCCATCGCTCGGAAGCCAGGAATGACTTGAATTAGGTGGCCTCTACTTTCTTAATTTAGTCTGCTTGTATGCTGACAAGAAGATGGGTTCTCATTATATACACATATGACTTCTCCTGCCTGGTCCATAAGATGCTGGGAAGGGTGCTGCTCAGTAAATGAGCTGCTGTTAGCTCCTTACTGCTGTCAGAGATCTGGGAACTCCAAGCACGTAGTAACACAGGTACAATTTAGGACAGGTCAGACAGAAGCCTTACTAAATGTGATCATGGCGGGAGACCACTCAGACAGCAAACAACAACAGCATCACAGAATGGTTTGGGTCAGAAGGAACCTTCAAAGGCCATCATCTCATCCAATTCCACTGCCATGGGTGGGGACATCTTCTGCTAGATCAGGTTGCTCAAAGCCCCATCCACCCTGACCTTGGGAAGTTTTGGGGCAGAAACTTCGGTGTATATGAATCTCGCTATGGCCTAAATGATCTGTTTTTCACAAATCCTTTTTTTTTTTTTAAAGAAAAAAAGAGGTCTTCACTTTTCAACCACATCACTGCATTGGCACCATTTCTAACCTCAGATCTCCAGTGTTGACCTTTGGGAATTTCATTTAATGCATCGCTTTGAAAATCAGCCAGTATGTGGTGTGGGGAGTCTGCGTCTGCAGGATGAAGCCCAGCAGTTGCAGGGATCACTCTCAGAAGAAGGGGTGTTCCAGCACCATGTGGACCATCACAGGCTGCGGGGGGAAGTGCGGGGTTATGCAAGAAATCTTTGTGATTATGACTATAATGATAATTATGTGGTGATAACTTAAAATCTAGAGAAATACACAGGTAAAATGGCAACCAAGCTAAGTAATATTTACACATTATATTTGCTATTAGCAGAAATCTAGTCACTAAAACTTTCCCTATCAATCACCTCATACCCCTCAGATATTGTTAGGTAGCAAAAAGACACATCCTGAAATCTTATGAGCTTACAGAAGGGGGAAAAAGAATTCATTACAAAGGCACATAAGGCAATGTTGTAGGAAGTCCATTTGGCATCCTGATAGTAAGGAAAAAAACACACCAGTGATGGAAAGGAATTTTTTTAATCATCTCCCGAGGAAAAAAAGAGAGACCTGAGATCATTTAGATCAGCAAACATGAGGACTTCTGTACTCATTTGCTCAGTAACCAGTGCAAAGTGGTTATGACTCTTGAGCATAATTCTGAAAATATTCATAGTACAGCAGGAAAAGTGAATGTATCGAGAGCAAGAGAATGTGAGATAAGTGGCAAAGGAATGAAAAAGCAGCATAAAAACCCAAGGCGGGGTTTCTCGGGTGTTACAGTTGAACCATATCCCAATCAGATTATTGCAAGCTCTAGTGAGGTTGGAGGTAAGAGCTGAGTGACTGGGTAAGCATCAGACCTAATCACACAGCACACATCTAGAATGCGGTAAGCAAAAGCAGGGTTTTTCCATTGTTTTCTTATTTCCATCAGACATGATGCTCCAAAATGGTAGTTCTAATTATAGTACAATTCTCATAATTTAAGTATACTGTGAGAACCACGCAGCCAGCAGATTGGCTCGGGCACAGTAAATGGGACATCTGTGAAACTTCTTCATAGATGAAGTTCTATGTACACAAACTCATCCTCTCCTTACTCCTTTTTTTTTCTTTCTTAAAAGTCTACATCATCCCAGAGCAATATATCATGTAAAAATTAGTGTACAGCAATCTTAATCTAAAAAAATCATTGGTTTTGCAACACATCTATGAAATAGTTAAAGGAATACTACCATTTACCTGCGTTTATGGACAAACTGAGAGACATATGTAGTTATTCACAAGACTGCAGAATAAATGTGTGTATTGGGTTTGTGTGGCGGGGTGTTTGGTAGTGAGTGAGGGGCCGCAGGGCCGGCTCCTGTGAGAAGCTGCTGGAAGCTTCCCCGGCTCCAAGTCGGACCCGCCGCTGGCCCAGGCCGAGCCCGTCAGTGATGGTGGTAGCGCCTCTGGGAGAACAGAGTTAAGAAGGGGAACCTGCAGCAGGGGAGAAGATTAAAATGTGAGAGGTACCCCTCTGCAGACCCCCAGGTCAGTGCAGAAGGAGGGGGAGGAGATGCTCCAGGCGCTGGAGCAGAGATTCCCCTGCAGCCCGTGGGGAAGACCATGGTGAGGCAGGCTGTCCCCCTGCAGCCCAGGGAGGTCCACGGTGGAGCAGATCTCCACCTGCAGCCCGGGGAGGACCCCACGCCGGAGCAGGGGGATGCCCCTGGAGGAGGCTGTGACCCCGTGGGAAGCCCACGCTGGAGCAGGGTCCTGGCAGGACCCGTGGCCCCATGGAGAGAGGAGCCCACGCTGGAGCAGGTTTTTCTGGCAGGACTTGTGACCCTGTGGGGGACCCACGCTGGAGCAGTGTGCTCCTGAAGGACTGCAGCCCATGGAAGGGACCCACGCTGGAGCAGGGGACGAGTGAGGAGTCCTCCCCCTGAGGAGGAAGGAGCGGCAGAGACAAGGTGTGAGGAACTGACCCCAACCCCCATTCCCCATCCCCCTGAGCTGCTGAGAGGGGTAGGTAGAAAATCCAGGAGTGAAGCTGTGCCCAGGAAGCAGGGAGGGGTGGAGGGAAGGTGTTTTAAGGTTTGGTTTTACTTCTAATTATCCTGTTTTGATTTGATTGGTAGTAAATTAAATTGATTTTGTTTTTTCCCCAAGCTGAGCCTGTCTTTTGCCTGTGACCATAAGTGGTGAGTGATCCCTCCCTGTCCTTGTCTCAACCCACGAGCTTTTCTTTATAGTTTCTCCCCATCCCACTGTGGGGGGAGGAGTGAGCGAGCGGCCTCGTGGTGCTTTGTTGCTGGCTGGGCTTAAACCACGACAATGTGCTAAAGGCAAGAGCTGGAATTCAGCTTGGCTGTGTCTTGACTTCCAGCAAGGAAGCTTCATTTTGTATTTGTATCAAATCATTGCTGTTTCATCTGTGTTTCTGATTCTTTCACCCAAAGCCTTTCCCTCTCCAAGAGGCAAAGACATAAAGGTAGAAAAGAGTGAGCGGGACCAGGGCTCCTCAGGACCCTACATCCCACATGATCCCACCGAGACACCCCTCTTCCCCAACACAGCTCTCTGGGCAAAGCTTCCACCTTCCTGCCTTAATTCCCTCCACCTTTAAGTCTCTCCCTAAACATCTCCCGTCTCCTATTTTCAGCGACCCTCATTATGGGGGTCCCCACAGAAGGTGCCAGCTGCTCCCCCAGCCTGGCTGGCATTTCTGGCCACTGCTGCAGCTGCTCTTTTATTCCCACAGAGGGGGAATTTCTCCTCCCTTTAAAACAGGAGCTCATGGCATCCCCCGGGGTGCTTTGTAACACATTAGCAGGCATGTGTGATTAAATCCCTCCCGGTATTAAGAACATCACTATCTCCTCAGCTCAAAAGCAACTGAGCCATTCAGCCTCTTTGGCCGCTCCAAACCACTCACGCGAAGTCACTAATACCAAAAGGCATTTTGCCACATGGTGGCATTTAACATATATCTGTACCTAAATGTTCGAATCTGACATATTTTGCTTTTTTGTCATCCTCTAACGCTGGCGGTCCCCCTCATCTCAGCGCTGGGGCCACCAGCTAATGCTGTGAATGATGATGCAGTTCTCCGGTGGGGTGGGAATACTTGACCTTGCCTCCTGCCTCGATGTGCTCCCGACATGCATCAAACAGCAGCATCATGTCTTATCGCCCAACTGTTAAACCTCTTCCTAAAGGGATCTTCCCCAGCACCTATTCGTTGTAGCTGGGGTTTCACACAAATGCATGCTTATTTGGCTGCTCTCTGATGGTCTGTTGTCTGCAACTTCGCTCCAGGTTCTCCCAACGCACTTTTGAACATTTACCTTCACTTGGGTTGGCCATAGCTTCAATTGCTGAGCCCCACTGGCTGCTGCCTCACCTGAAGTGCTATGTTCCCCCCCATAGTCTCCCCCAAAACTGCCTCCAGGTGAGGGGAGGATTCTGAGCTGGGGAGCTGGCCCTGAAGAGCCAGGGAGGCTGCCTGCAACCAGGAATTTAAATCAGCACTAAATTTGATTGACTGCTGTTGTTATTAATTATTACTTGTGACACAGTTGGAGATAGGCACTGTGAAGCTAAGAATGAGGAACACCTCTGGAGCAGCTGCGACAGAAATAGGATGCCAGTGGTTTTGGCATCGTTAGCCCCATTATACAGAGGGAGAGCAGAAGTACCCCAGAAGCACAGCTTCAAACCTTTTCTCCAGGCCAAATTCAGCTACCACCAGGTTTCAACCACAGCTGGGCAAAACAGCAGGCAGAGAGCAGGGGGTCTGTGGGTTTGACCTGCTCTCCAGGACACCAACAGAGCCCAGGTGAGCAGCCCAGAGCCAGGAGCACAAGGCAAGCCCTATCCCCATGTCTGAAGGGCAGCATGCTCTAAGGCTCCCTATTAGGGATTTAAACAAAAGGAATTTTAATCTTTTTTTTTTTCCTTCTTCTTTTTAATGCCAGCGTTTGAATGTGGGGGGATGGAAATTTTAACACGAAGCCACACGCTGAAGGTCACGGAAAGGCAAGGCAGACATTGTCTTCAGTAATATTAAAAGGAAGACCAACCCTGCTGTGTCAGAGCAAAAAAAATGAATACTTCTTTTGATTGGTAAGAAAGTTTCTCCATGCCCGGTTGCGGTGCAGCATTGCACAACGGAGACTGCTGCGGCTGGGAGCAAGGAGAATTAATTACTTTGCTTTTTGAAGCATGGGCTGCTCTGCTCTGCTGTGCCAGCTTCAAGAATGATAAGCGCTTATCCAAAGAGCGCAGTTTTGTCCTCTGGCGCGGGAGTTTTGCTTGTCTAAATCACAGGAGGCTGCTGAGGTTTTGTTTTGTTTTCTTCATACTTGGCCTATGCTTGAACCTGGGCAGCGCTGCTCTCTTTTCAGACTCACAGACACCAATTTTATGCCATCTGAGGGAAGGACACTGGACCGAGCATCAGCGCTGGCCATGAAGCACCGCGGTGTAATTGTGTTAGGCATCATCCCAGAGTGCTGGCTACCGTCACCGTGGCACATTACAGCCCCATGGCAGAGAGGGTTTTGCCAAATGCAAATTTATCTCCAACCACCTCCTCGCAGGGGATTTTGCTTTCAAGGGCATTTCAGCATCTAAACAAAGATGAAGTATGCCTCTCCAAGTGAGCCGGCAGTGGGGACATGGCACCAAAGGATGTCTGCAGCGCTTTGTCCTCAGCTGGGCAGCAGCAAGCCATGCCACAGAATGGGCTTATTGATGACACATTTGGCCTTTCAGGGGTCTGAATTGTTTTCTTGAGTCTCTTACACCCCCCTCCCCCTTATTCATTTAGAAGGAGATTTTCTTTTTATACAAGTGACTTGGGAACTGAAGTCATACAGGTTACTGAAGCTTTCCTCCTCTGCTCACAAATAACTTCCAGGTGGCCCTTGGCAGGAGAGAAATTCAGGATACCTGCAGACACTGCCACACTGACCTTCACTACACTAAAAAAAAAAAAATAAAAAAAAAAAAATCACACAGTGTTTAAATTTTCACTGTAGTGTTGATACCCCTTCTGAAAAAGAGCAATTCCCACCTCTCCCAGAGCCACTGGTTTGCGGACATCTGCAGGCTAAGCCTGCCAGAGTCATAACTCCTAGCTCTCCTCCTAATCCTGACTTTTTGGCAAAAGCTGCTGATTTACCTACAGTTGCAAAAGAACTGAAGGACACAGGCATGGGGCAGTTTTCACATGAACAACTCCTGCTGGCCTGTTGTTAACAGGCTCTTCCAGCAATACTCAGCGAGCCTCATCCCAGTTCTTTGATAGTAGAGCCAAAACCAATGTCTCCTCAGCATCCTGCACACTGAAGTTCTTAATTCATCTTCACAGCATCAATAATTTTTAAAAATAAAAAAAAATGTAACAACCATAAGACTAAATATAAGAGCTACTCAGAGCTTATCAGGCTTTTACCATCCATTTCTTGATGCAAGCTAGAACTGCCCTACTTCCCATGCCTTGCATAACTGATTTTAATTTGCTACTCCTGAACCACAGCCACCAGTACCTAAGCAAGCCAAGAAACAAACTGACAGACAAGAAAGATCAGCACTTCTTTGGAATTACGTTTTTCCTGAATTATCATGTGCAGATTGCAATTTCTTAATTGACACTTATGCTTATTCAATGCTAGATCAATGCTTCAGATATGACCCAGATTACCAGCTTCTTAAAACCATCACCATTCAGGTTGTAAGACAGATGTACAGGGGTGGGGGAAAAAAATTATGCCCACAACCTATTTGTTGCAGCTGCTATTCAGAAAGAGGGCTTGCAGATCCAGAGCACCAATATACTTCTTTCTTCCAGCCTTCTCCCTTCCCACCCATATTCACACCAGCTCTTTACTGGGGTTGCAATACCAGTCAGTGGCTGTTTTCTGGCAAACACGTAGCAAAGCTGAAGCCTGACACACAGTGGCATACTCGGAAATAAATGCAAGTCCACAGAATTGCCCTCATTTGGGCAACATACAGTTTGCGATTCACTCCCTGCCCAGCAAGGAACATCTAAGAGTAAGTAAGCTTACCTCTTAGCATTTACTTTAACACAGCTTGCAATTCTAAGATAATCCTCTGAAAGGGGAAAAGATCAAAGCTTTATAGACCAGATAGCGAGTGATGTGGCCCACAGATTAATTTACACCTTGGGTTAAAAAAAAAGCAGCAACACAGCAAGGTGCGTATTCAGCATGAGTGGTCCTGGCAGTGGCAACAGCGCCAAGTTAAAGATCACCAAATACGAAGGAGATGCCATGTGCTCTCCTGCCCCTCTCTCTGGCTGGAGGGAGATGCATAGCCCTGCCCTGCTGCTCCAGTCCTTGCCGATGGGCTCTTCCAGGGCAGCGTGCTCCTCCTGAGCAGCTCCGTTCCATCGAAGCCCCCACAGAGAGTGAGCAGGAACAAGCCCATCTCCATGCATTAAAAACCCAATCAACCCATACGAGTGGGAGATCGATATTCAAGATGAATTCCCTCTGGCCTTGCAGCTATGGAAGCATCAAGACTATACTATTCTTAGATAGCCTTCCCAGGGTCAGGGTGCTGCCTTCATGGTCACAGAGGTACAGTCGCTTTCCTGCTTGCTACTCTTTTCCCTAGATTCCTCCTGCTTTCCCTCCCCTTCAGTAACATGCCCACGCAGCCTCTTTGGGTGGTTTTTTCTTTGAACAATGCAGCCAGGGGTCATGATTAATCACGGAGTTTTCCATACTCCATTTCCCTGCTCATTGTCCCGTGCCACTTGTTGAGAACCTTATCTTTATTAGCTGGTCTTATCAGGACTCGATTACACATTAACAGAAACTCTCCTTACTCAGCAGGATTTCCTTAGGATTGCATTGCTTTTGGCTTCAGAGAGCAGCTCTGTGGAGCAAGCCACTCCACTAGAACCAGCCTAGGAAGTTACTGATCTCATTTAAGATGCATGAGGGGACACAGAAAGCTGTAGGACGACTTTGAGGAACTGGCAGGAGCAGATTTAGAGGACAAAGCATTTCTATAGGGGAGCAAACGCATTAGCTTATGTTGTTTGTATTGGCATTAAATTATACAGTAATTATTTGGTCCCGGTGAGCTGTGCTCTAATAGCAGCTACAGAGCTATCTGAGATCCTTCAGCACAGGGATTGCATCCAGCTAAAACGTTCCCCTATCCACTTAGCTACTCAACCAAATAATACAGCTATAGGGCCTATTGTTATCTGTCTGCTTACAAGAAATTAGACTGATACAGTTCTTGGAGATTTACTAGACCTTCAAGTGCAATAACACCACACCATGTACACCTCTGACAGAGGATTTTTCTCCTTCAATGCTATTATCACCTTGCCCAGGAAGGTTAAATGGCATCAACTTGTATCATTGTTCTTGCTTTTTCTTTTTTTCTTTAAAAAATCATACACAGAATTATTCAGTATCTGAAAAGGACAGAGTGATGGGTGAAAGAGAGGGGGAAAATGCATTGTTAGAGACGAGAAAAGCTGTTTCTTAACAGATGGCTCTGTGAACCCCAAAAATCCATTTCTTGTGAAGGCAATGGTCTGTCCAAGGACTCAACAGCCCAGGTGAGACCTCCCAGTGTCAGGCAGTCCAGGTGAGAAGCAAGCAGAGCTCACCGTTTGGTTAATGATAGCTTTCCCTCTGCTTGGGAAGAGTGGTATGTCTGCAATGACGTGCCATTGCCATGGCCCTTCACACTCCCCTCTGCTCCCGAAACAGCCCACACATGTCTTCATAGAGTGGCTCTGAGGAACAGAAACAAGGAGGTTTGGAGAATTCATTAGACACTCAGTTCACAGAGCTAGAAAAAAAAAAAGGGGGGGGTAAGACAGAACACACAAAATCTCTTCTTCTGAAATAGCAGCAGCAGGCTCCAAAAGCACGCATGGCATTTGAGGACAATTACTCTGAGTTTAACTAGTTACATTCATCAGACCATCTGACAGAACAAGTAGCTGATATCTGGAAAACAGAGATGGATGTAAGCAAGGGAAGAGGTATTAAACTGGTTATCACCTACGGGGGAGGGGAAAAAAAAAAAAGAAAAAAAAGAGAAATTGGTAATTTACTGCCTGCATGACAGCCAACAGAGGAGGCAAGAAAAGATTATAAATTGCTATAAAACCAATATTGCTACTGGGCACATGATTTTAAGTATCAAGACTCAACTTCTGAAAACAGTTTGGAGCTCTTCTTTATATACGATGGCTGTCACAGCAGGCAATGGATGAAGAGTCCCTGTTACAGCCTGCTCAGGCTTTCTAAATTTATAAGGATTTACATTTTGCAGGTTGCATCCAATGATTCCTCTAAGTCTTCCCTGCCTGTGCAGAACACAGGCAGCGGGTGCAGGTACGATGCAGCAGAGCTGACAATATCCCCTCTTCTTCCTCCTGTGCTTTTGTGAAACATTAAATTTGGCCCTAACTCTGAGTGCAGTTTCAGATCAAAAAGAGGGAAGGGAGATTTAAGTGAAATAATACTGCTCTAACTAAAATATACAGGAAAACTAAAAATCGTACTGTAACTACCCCAATGAGAGCAGCAGACATGCTAGGAAGCTTTCACCTGGAATGCAGAAACTCTCTCCCAGAAGCTGTAGGTTCTAAACCTCTCCAGGTACTCCCTACTGGCAGAGCAAAGGAGGTAGAAACCTGTTGACAATGATCCAAGTTAGGCCTTTTTCCAACATGCAAGTCCCATCTCAGGCAAGAGTCACAAATACCAATTTTTTACTTATTGCAGTGAACAGCCATCACCACAACACTTCTGGAAACAAAGGCTGCAGAAGTGTTTTGCCCCAATCAAAATAGCAGGCTCTGATTTTAGCTTTTAAGGGTTGAATAGAGCTCTAAAAGCAAACAGAAAACCCATTGTATCTTCTAAACTAACTGAAATTTAGAAAATTTTAGAAATAAAAACCTGAAGCATTTAATCCTCATCAGTATCATCCAAATGAAATACTATCATGTTGCAAAAAGTCCCCCTACACACACACACACACACACACACACAATTTATTTCTGATACTATTCCAGTGAAACCTACACATGTTGCAACCACACACAAGTCTGCTCTCCAGCTAGGAACCTTTCCTCTGCACGCACCGAGGCTGTGCCCCTTTATTTTCAGATTAGGGGCTACCTTCCCCTCTACAGCCTTCAGAAACAGCAGTTTACATCCCAAGAGGCTTCCCTGAAACTCCCTGGGAAAGGCTGTATCCAAGAGGTGCCAAACCAGGGCCTCCTCAGAACGATTTGGCCATCTTCATCCTTGTCTGTCCTACTCCCTTCTGGGTTGTGCAAACCCACCAGCTCAACACAGCCAACTAAGGAAAGTCAAATCAAGTTAGTTGACTGTCAGGTCACACCTGACACTCTTTTCCTTCCTCTTAACTCAGTTCCCACAGTTTATTATTTTTTTGTGTGTGTTTAGGTGTGCTGTTCTCCCTGTAGAATTCCTGCCCCTGTCTGCATGCACCTTGGACTACTAAAGCCAAACCAGACGTTGACACAGCTAGAGAGGAGCACATCCATCCCTATGAACAAGCGAAGACTGCGCTTAGGTTTGAATATTGCTAATACAGAGCTGTAGAGTAGAAAAAAAGTAAACACTGCTGGACTGCATGATCCAGAGCACTTCTAGTTTCAGCAAAAGTTTGAACTCTTGCCAAATTTTTGCTTTCCTGATCATAGATTCTGACCAGGATCTTCTAAGAATATCAGTCCCTACAAGATTTCATCTGTTTTCTGAATTTACAGAACACAAGGGCTGAAGGAACAATAAAAGGTCTTTATGCCACAGTTGCATAAAGCTTCAGGGTGTTCAAACTTCTTGATGCTGCCCCAGAACCTTTGCTGTACTTTTTCAACATTAATTGGATTTTTATCTTGAATTACATACCTTGGGGAAGAAGGGCGAGACAGAACAGAGAACAGGACAAGACTAACTTTCCTACTTGTTTATACATTAAAAAAACCAAACCCTCTTAGCATCTGGGCTTTGAATCAGCTTTTAAGAAAATTAATCTGTAGGTAAAAGCTCCTAAGTGAAAATACTAAACATTAACATCAGTTACAGTTAAGTCCTTAGCTTGAGCCCCTAAACCAAACAAGGCCAATGCCCAAGGCACACACATTGCATTTTCTTTTTGCAATTGCTTAAATTCGTAACAGCAATAAGCACAGGCAGTTCAGAGTCAACAAACTGCTTAAAAAGATGGGTAAAGCAGTGTCACAGGCACACGCTCAAGGCTTCCTTCTAGCAAAAGGCTTATCCGCTGAGTCCAGTTGCAGGTACAAATACTAACCAGTGTCTCATCTTGCCCCTCCACTCACTGTGGGGCTAAGGATTCAGTAGATGAGGACAGAGACGGGCACTGCTGTTCTTTGCAGCCTAAACGGAGACTACCAGCTTCTGAGCCCGTATTGGGGAAAAAAGCACTTTGAAAAACATTCTTTGATCAGACAATGAACAAAATCCTTGATATTTTTTTTCTTCCCATTCTCAAGTCCAGTTAAAAAACAATTTCTCAGCATCTTTAGATCCCTTCCTTACTGATTTAAGATATTTTTTTCCAAAAATTGGTACCTTAGGCTTCTCTACCTCACACAACCTCCAACACCATACATAAACTCTATTTTCATAAAAAAAAGAAGCGACTTAACCTGAGTTGTGTCCTCCGTCACAGTATTTGCTCCCCACAACTTGGGGCTATGAGCTCACACCACTGCCCAAGCATCAGGCAACCTCAACAGTTTTGAGTGCACTGATCTGAGACCCTCTCCTATGTACAGGAACAGCACTATGCAGGACGGGCACTATATGGACTGCAAGAGGGCAGTAGCCCCTCCAGCCTAATACAGAAGGAGAAGCATCCTGCCCCACTGCACAGGGACGGACGGGCAATAGGAAGACCCCTCAGTCCTCTCCCCTCTCGTGACTGTGAATGAACTTTGTACCCAATTGCCTGCTAGAGTTTTTACAGCACTGACACTGAGTGGTGCCAGGCAGGTAAGTCTTAATGAAGACAAGTGCTACAAGCACCCTTTCCAGTTGGAGCAGGTGAGGGTGTTTTGATTTTAAAACAGGCTGAGGGGTCTGTTAGGGTTAACTACAGCTAACTGATACACTTAACTTGAAAGCAAAGAGAAACATTACTGCAAAGAAACTTTCTACATTTAACTAGCTACTGCAAGGTGGCCTGAACTCTGTAGCGTGAAAAGATTTACCAAGCAGCTTGGCAAGCCCAAGGGTTGGTGCAGGCAGCATCCTAACACCTCTGGTTACAATAACAAGTCAATGAAACCGTTAATACAGGGATCTGCCCCCTGTCTTTTCATCCATGGCCAGTCCAGGGCCTAAACATACACATCCCTTTTAAGAAATAAATGTAAACATTCAGATGCAAAAATACTGCTTGTGGTGGGGTTTTGATTTTAAACACCACCTCCAGTTGCCATGATCTTCATCATGGGTGACTTACAGTTGGTTAGAAGTCCAGAGAAACTTGGCCTTAAGAGCTGATCTGAGCTCTAACGGCATTTTGCAAGGGCTTTGTCCTTTTGGGGGTGGGGGGGAACAAAACAAAAAAAACCGAACCACCTCCAGGCACCAGAATTAAGGTTTCATCATCACTTTTCTTCCCCCTCCAACATCAACAAGATTCTGCAGAGGCCTTGCCAGCATCCCACAGTTACAGCTCCTTTTATGCAACTTTTGCTCACAAGTGTTGTAATCCCTCCTCCTAGATCATGTTCCAGATGATAAAAGGGTGAGCCACTGCTGCGAACAGAACTCCTTTCATCACCAAAAAAGTGTGCTTGAAAAATACAAGCAGCTGAAGTGTTTTCATCTTTTCAATCCTAGAAAAGAGCACATCATCACCATTTAGACGTTAAGTACTTCTGCTTAATATGCACATATTACATATTTAACTTAATTAATAAAATCATGACAATAGACTCAGTTCTGAATTTCAAGTCACACTGTTACTATCATCCATGGCAAAATAAGAATCTAGGGACGCACAAAACAAGAAAAGCCATTTACTCTGCAGGTGATGGCAATGCTAATAACATCTTCACCAAAATTAGTGCTCTGCCATACTACGGCAAGTACAAATTGATCCATCATCCTAAGTCTAGCACAGAACAAGGGAGAATATGAATCGTCTTCATTTTATGGATGCAGAACAGGATTACAAAGCCATTAGGTGACTTGTTATATCAGAAGCTTCAGACTGTAAATGACTGTGTATCTCTCCAACTCACTACCTTAACCATCAAGGCAAAGCAGTCTTCCTCCCTGAGAAGGTACACAGTGATATACAAACACAGAAAGAATTTTATGTTGTATTGCAAACAATATGCTATTCTGAATATTAAAGCCTCTCAGTCTTCCTAATGCAACAACTTGATGACAGAATGAAAGAACAGGTCCAGTTTCTCATTAAGTCACTGGCAACACCACATTACCGAGTTGTGTTGAGAGAGGAGCTGTTGCCAAGACAAAGCGATAGAAATGAAAGATGAAGCATTTTAGAAGCATTTGATTTCATATTCCTGGCTCTTCCGCTGACTCTTTATGCAACTGGAGCAAAATCGAAAGGCACACACTTGCCACGCTGTTCTATCTGGTGTATTTAGTATGGACCAAGACCTTCCAGTTCAAGGAGCACAACAAATTCACACAGTGCCTTATGTACCAAGTCCACAATCATCTTTGGTGCCTCTATGGTAACAAACAGGAAAAGTGCAGGCAGACAAACGATGAGGACCAGAAGAGTCATTCAGAGGATACTCAAAGTGTCTCCGAATCAGTTGAGGTAAGAGCCTCAAAAGGAATTCTGGCAGCTGTGCACATCTGGCTGGACAGAGAGAGGGCATTGCAGAATACCAAGTTCACCCCTAGAAAAGTAAGTGATCTCTATCAATCCCACAAAGTTTGAGGGAGAGTAGAAGGATACTTCCTCCTGGAGGACAATAAAGGATGAATAACCAAGTATACAAAACAAGCTGTAAAACAATAATAGCCCAGGAAGGACACAGACTGTCAAAACTCATGGTGATAAACAGAGACACAGAAAATGCCTTTATGATTTTGCAACTGATCAGAGAAGACAAGACTCCCACCCAAAAGCAGGTCATTTTCTTGAGTACTTTTATCAATAGCAGGAGGTGGTATCACAGTGCAGCTGTCAGACACTTCCCAGAGACATGCAGATCACAAGGCTTGTCTTAAGCTGAAATATAATTTAGCAAAACAGAGACAGTAACAGAGATTAAAACTTTAATTTAAAACTTTGCCAACAAAAATTGATTACAAAAAGGGAAATTATCTGTACAAAATAAGAAAGGAGGTACTCATTTAACACGAGACTGCCATTGTCAGTGTATGCTGCAGGACAAACAGTGCTTCAGGTCAAGTGACAAGTCAGAAACGAACAAACTGAGCTCGTCATATGGAATTCTGAAGTGAATTTTCCATAAACCAAAGTAAATTGACCTGAAGCAGCTCAAAAGCTAATCAAGACTTATCAGAAGTCTGTCTTCCTTGCAGACCCTTTCTTCTTCATTTAGAGAAGAAGGATGTACTACAAAGCAAGACCCAGCACAGTGCACTGGGCCAGGACAATGACTTTTGCCATGCTTCCTCCCACTCAAGCCTGCCTTCCTTCCGGCCTTCTGTACAAAGATGTTCTGCAATTTGAGTGTGCCAGGGTTTTAGCTGAGTCACAAACTATTGCATCTTCACTTAACAGTTAGGTCCTGACTCAAAAGACAAATGCTTTGGAGACAGTGATATTACTATGACTAAAAAGACCAGCTGCATCATGGCTCCTATAAAAATGATGGTTCTTAGACTTTTCAAGTTAGCATCAAGTAACAGCTGTCGGTCAATGATAGATTAATATTTACAACACTGCAGTCCTCTTTTCTACCTACCATTTTATACAAAGAAACAGACGAGCATCTTTAAAACTCATCACTGAGTAGACAAAAATGGCAGGTGATTTCTGAACTCCAAGTTCCTGTAAAACCTAAGCATACAATATGATCATTACCAGTTTCCTACATTTTTCCACAAGCCAAATCAACAGAATTGAGTTGCAGTGAAGAAGTGGAGCATGCGGGGGTTTTTTTCCAAGCAAGCCAGCTGAAAACTTCCAGTCTGGCTGCTTATTTTCCACCCAGTTTCACATCACGTAGTATTTACAAGTTTTTAAACCTTCAGAACCCAGGTTTAGTGAAGAAACAAAGTAGTAATAAAAATGTTTTGGCCTAGATTCACTTCACCTACTTATAGATACCTGAGATACCCAAGTTGGGGCAGAACAACTTCCTGTGCCCTACCTACCCAGTAAAAATACAGACAAATGCTAAAGGGAAATTCGGTCAGAGACTTGAATCTCATCCTAGTGATGACGCTCTTTTCCTCCAACTATAAAACAAAAAGTGAGCAGCTATATTCCAACTTAGAAGTCTTGGTTAAGCTTAAGAGTAATTGCATTTCTAGCTGAAGTGTTGTCATTTATGTGAACCTAAGCCTTACCTTGCTCACTAGCAGCTCCCATCTAGGGCAGTCGGGGACAGCTACCTTTTAAGAATGCTATGAGACATGCATGAGTCCTCCTTACAGCTGGGAAAACTGAGATAAGTAAGAAGTTTGCTCAAGTCCATGCGGTGAGTCAGTAACAAGCTACCATTACAACTTCCTGGATCTCAGCCCTATGCTCTGCCCAGGGGAACCCAGTACGAGGAAAACTACTGTACAGAATCATTCCCTTTTCCATGTCTAAAAATTTTACCAAAAAAGTACAGATACTAATAAACAGTGTACGTAATTTCTTATTTGTCAATGAAAGAGTCCTGTAGTAAAGCAATCCGTTCTATTGTATCTTGATTCTGGAAAAGTTTATTTCCAGCTTTGATTCTTCGATGTCTTAAAGCTTTTAGGAGAAAGTTGAAGATTCAGTTAACAAACATAAGCTGCAGTCAGTACCCTTTACATTAACCAGAATGATATGTTACATTTTCTAGTTTAAGTAGTATTTGTGCTACCCAATTTTGCAATCAAAATAGAAACCTTGAAGCCAAGAATCCACAGATCTCGGGGGTGGGGGGAGCTAGACAACTTCAGTTTAAACAGAGCAAGCCTTGTAATATGCCATGAAGAGTTCAGAGATTTCAATTCTGTGAATATCTGTTATTGCCTTTTCAGACGAAAGCCCTTTTATCCTTAGTCTTACCCAGCCCACCCTGTAGCAGGTAGGACAAATGCTGCATGGCAACAAAAAACTCCCCTCAAAACACAGCTTAATAATGGAAATGAAATATTTGCACTTTGCTTTATGAATGCAGCAGAGAGATATCACTTAAATAATGTTTCCAAAGACCCTGGGACTTAAGCACAGCTATGGAAAAAGTCAGCTTCCTAAACTCTGGGGTTAGTTTGATCCATCTGCCTCACACTGGATTCTTACCTTACCACGATCAACAAAGCTTTTGACATATGAGGCAAGACAGAACACCATTAACTTGTTCCATCGTATCATGGAACAAGACAGCATAATGGATGCCCATTGCAACAGACAGACTATACTGTATAAAGAAGGCTTTTCTTAATGGCAGAATCAAATTGGACACTACTGGCTAACCTGGAGCAAGATCTACATTTTTCCCTTCTGGAGTTTTTAGTTTTCTCTTGAACCAGAAACATTCTAATCAGTTAAATCCAACAGTACTACAGAGAGCTCAGTTCTTAAGCATGCTCTGCACCAGGAAGGGTCGGTTCTACATCCAATTAAAACCAAAGAGTTGCTGTTTTCCAAGGGCAGGCGTTCTTCACTGGTCACCTAGCCGGAAACCTTGGCCCCAGTTGTGTCTTCCACCACCCTGCTGATCTTCTGCAGCTCTTCTCATGCTAGCAGGTGGGACACCAAACCCCGACACTCCTCCTCTCCTATTTGGCAGCCAGCGGTACCTAAGACAAGCCAGAAGAAAAGGAGAGTTTGAGAAACAGCTGTACCTTGGGGGTAAATGCCAGACTACTTTTCCATGTATCTCCTTTTAGCTGCTAGACTTTGCAATAAAACTGGCTTTTCACAGCAGTACTTCACAGAATTCTTTCCAAATCTAAGCCCTCAGCACACTGAGAAATGGGAATTCTGGGAAACTTCCATTTCTGGGATATGGTTAGATCCAAAATCCAAACACAGGGAAAACCCCCACATGATAAGGGAGTCTCATTGTTGAGAATAAATGCTGTGATACAAACTTAATTCCCCTAACTTCTCTCCTTTTTTTTCAGGGGAAATAATAAAAAAAATCCAAATCACTTCTGAGCATCTCTCTTTCTTCAATAGTTTCAAAGGTCCTGTTATCACAGCATCTAACCATCTCACTGCTCTCCAAGTAAACATTCCTTAGGAACTGAGGACCAAAGAGACTAAGGCAAACAGGCTCAAGCAACTAGCTTGTCTGAAATCAAAGCTCAAGTGACCTGGCCAGAGCAAATCAGAGCTGTAAGACTTTATCATCCAACTTAGGCTACCATCTAAATAGAGTAATCTAAAATACAGCTGCTGCATTTTGCAAGGGATGCCATCAATGGAGAGTCATTTCAGCTCTACAGTAGTTACACCGAGCTCCTGCAAATCCCTTCATGAATTTGACAACTAAAATCTGAGGCCCAGACGTAAAACCCAGATTCCTTTCTGCAAGAAAAATGATTCTGTATAGAAAAAAGTTCTTTGTTATTATATTAAAGGTATCTGTAAAGTCATTACAGCAGCTTTTTTTGAACAAAACATTACAGTGCAAAGGCAGAATTTATCCCTTTGTAGAGCTGTTTGCAGTACTTCTGTTCCTATTTCTCAAATATAGAGAAAAATTAAATACACGAGAGGAATCAAGAGAATTGCACATAACCAACAAGATTGATGGCAGTTTCAGAGCTGTTATTACCTTGAAAGACATTTTAAAAAACCATTTTGTCTTCTTATCTTTATGGAAAATTAGGATAACCAGAAGGGCTTGCAAACACAAAAGTAGAATATAAAGCTTCCCTACTCATTAAAACTTGTACAGAAAGTATAACTGTAATTCAACTTTGCATTTTCTAATTAACAGTTTATGCTATAAAAAGGGTTAACTGAGTTGCTAACTAAAGTTTGGTACAGAAGTAATATTTACAACCCAAAAGGATGAGGACAAGGGCAACTTAAGCTACAAACTTTGGCTTCTGATCGTAGTATTTCAATGCCAAAACAATGAACAGATCACAAGAAAAAGCACTTCAGAAACCAAGACCTGCAGTCTCAGTCAAGGTGACTGGTACAGACTGGAAAGCAGAATACATATTATAGTCCTGAACAAGTCTACAACTGACTCTTACTGTTGTTACAGGTTGCTGAAATGGTAGCTACTGTAATGACACATAGAATTACAGATAAAAGATCATTTACAGGAGAAAAAAATTTTTTTTTTATACTATCTGATGTTTGTTAGGGAGTTCTCTTTACTACAGCTCAATTCACTAGCAGAACAATGACTTTTACTCACTCTTAAGAGTGTGTAAAGGACACAAGCCATCCGTAAGGGTAACAAAGAGCTCTCACATGAGCCATTTACAAGAAACTCAACATTTTTGATGACTCAGCAGTACAGTCAATATCATAGTCTGAAGCTGGTTGATTTAGCAAAGTATTTTACACCTTACAATCTCAGCAGATATATGTCTGATGAACAATACAGAAAATTCGACCAAACAAACAGTGAGCTAAAGAATAAAGCCAGCTTACAGGAACTGAGGTGTGGACAGAAAATTCCTTCCTCCCAAATCCATTGGATATTTAAACATTAAGAAGAAATACAGGTGTCCAACCAGATTTCCTATCAGCTCATTGATGACCCTGCAAGGCAAAAGAACAAGAACTGTTTCACATGCTGTCTTCTCTGAAAATAAACAAGTGACCATCTTCTGCCAGTGACTACTGTTATCTGCCACAGGCATTGCCAGAGCCATGAGCCACAGAAAATTTCCCTTCCCTCAGCATTTTGCAGCCACTTCTTTAAGAAGGGCCAATCTTCAGTGCCAAGACATCAACAGGCTGTTCCACCCTCCCCTCTAAGCCTGCTCTACAGTCGGTACTGAAAATGCAATTAAATACTTGTTTACATCAGGGAATTAGACCGTACGGCTATTAGTGTCTAAAATAATAGGTTGCGGAGCTTGAGAAGTTACTGCTGTTTTCACTGGACTTTCACTGGACAACCTGTCTCCTGCTGTACTGAACTGTTTTGTTCCCAATTTTGCAAAAACACTGCTGAATGGAGGCCCTTGAGTATCTTCTGTCATGCATAGAAACAGCAGGTATCTAACAGCAAGCAGTTTTCTCAAGTGACAGATGAGTCAGTAGGAGGCACAGCCAGAAAAGGGAATTTGGTTTTGCTGTACTATCTCCTCCTTTTATAAATCAACCACATAATTTGTTGTTGTCACTAATTGTGTTACAGCGGCACCAAGAGGCCCCAGTCAACGCAGGGCACTAATGAGAAAGACTGTGCATAGAGATTTCTGCAACACAGAGTTTAGTCAAAGAAACCCAGGACAGACCAATGAATTCAGCAAGTGCTAAGATGGCACTCCATGGGCTTGTTATTGCCATTTTCCCTTGCTTCACAAGCTGAAAAAAGCATCACGTTGGGCAAGACTGTGAGGCAAAGAAGTAACAGCACTATCAGAGTCAAGCTAAATTTGTTTCTAAAACCAGTAATGATGGCTGGTCATATGAGATGACATCTTTCTTTACTGTGCAGTACTCTTCTAGTAAGAAAAAGGCCTAATGCACAGATTTACTAGAAAAATAAACCAAATTCTTATTACTTCCCCCTCACCTACTTTCTCTAGTTCTCACATGCACATCTCCTCTTTGCTTTTATCTTAAATGACCACCATGTGACACTGAGCATTATCAGTCAGATTGTACAGGTTTAAGCCTCTTATTTTAATATTGCTTCTAAATTCAGCAGTAAGTTCAATAGCTGTAAAAGCTTTCATAACTTTAAATTGGCCATATAAGTAAATACGTACGATCCACCAATGATGTAGTTGAATCCCAGAATAACCCATGGAAGGTAACAGGCCTGAAAAAGAACACAATGTAGACAGAGAAGTTGTGAGTACAAATTAAGGACATAAATCTGCTCAACTTCCCAATGCACTAATAAGCATGGTTATAATCTCAACGTTTTAGGCACTGCACAAATCCCAATACATTAACTTAAGCAGATTCTACCTAACAAGGTAGGATACTCCAAACTGAGTGATTACTAACATTTTTAGACAAATCATACTCATTTAACATTATAAGCAGATGCATCTTTTGCACTCTATGTTCCACAGCAAGCTTACATGTGAAACAAAGTCCTAATATTTCTGATATTTAAAAGGTCTGGAAACAATGACCAAAAGAGTTTTCACTACAAGATCTGGCAGAAAGAGATGAGGTTGCACAGGGAAGGACAATATAAAATACCAACATTTTGTCACTACATTCAGCTTATATCCAGGTTAATGTTTATCAGGAATTTTCTTCCTGTTTTCAGACTGATAAATTTCAGTTGTCAGTACATCTTTTCAGTAAAGCCACACTGAGTGACACTGTATGGAAGACCATGAAGACACTTGTCTTTGCTGCATCTCAAGGAGTATATAGCTATGACATCTTTAATAAGAGAAAATATTTATATTTTGCCCCCTTCATGTGTGTCTTCTGGTCAGAAACCTTTCCAGTATCCTGTCTGACATACCTTAAATCTTGTTCCAAACCAAAATGATACAATCATGTCTCTGTTCAGCTGGGCCCACACATAAAGTACTGACATGATGAGTGGAATCATCAGCAACTGCAATGTTTAAAAAATAATAAAAAAAGTTACCATCACTTTCACAGAAGCCCAAGAAACTTAAACAGGCAGCAGGAGCTAAAAGCTTCAAAAATGGCTTGTAAGCATGATATGTCAGCAAAATCTTTAAAGTTTGCCCCAGAATCTTTGCCGTCATATGTCATGGATCTGTTCAAAAGCTATTGAGAAAGCTAAGCAGAAGAACCTACTTGGTCATTCTCTCTTGCAAGACCATGCCAAAGCAAAGAGCTCTAACTTGCACCAAGTGAAAGAGCAGCTGTGGTGAACTCCTCTGCTCCCAGCTGCTTAGTAGCACACCTACAGCAGAGTTGGCAACATATTTGTGCCACAATCATTTCCATTCACAACCCAAGGAACTAACCCAAACACACTCATCTGGGCCTAAGCTAATAGGCCAGATGAAGTGTGACACCACTGAATTGCCAGCTATGTCCCTCTCAGAGCACCACAGAGGGAAGGTGCACCAGTAAATCACCATTTCAGAGTATCACAGCCAGCCTTGGCTAAGCCACCTTGGTAGAGCTCAGTTAACCTGTGCTCCATGCCAGCAGATGAGACTGTTTCAAATACCTCCTTACTGTGACTCTATATTAGCTGATTGGACTATTTCTAGTGAAACAAATGTAAAGCACTATTTTAGCTATCTGCTGATTTCTGAGCTGAAGACAGACCGTGCCAGCAACATTTCCATCAACTGGTTTAACACTATGAACCAGCTCGTGTGTTTGGAAGAGAGGTTAAAACTCATCCCTTCGGGGTTGCTGCTATTCAACAGGTTCCACGTTAAAGCTGGCACACTGGCATCAGTCCGGCCTTCCCAAAGCCCTACAGAATACCGAGTCTGACTTGTCACACAAGCACCTTAGGGTCTTTATTAGAACCATTTTTATTTTTACTGGAAAAACAAATACCTAATTTCTGAAAGTATTTGACATGAGAATAGAAGCCCAGCTATCCTACTCTATCTTCTCACTTGCAAGCAAGCCACTCAACACAAAGAAAAAAACATTTCTAAGAAAAACACATTTGTACATCAAACAACTGATTCTCTTTTAAGCAATACTTTGTATGCAGATATAAAACTATTTTAAGCACCTTTTTAAAAAGATACAAATCAACACAGTCTGTCTAAAATTCATACAATGTATGGGTGACTTCAGCGTGCTTTTGAAGAATTTTGTGGTGTCTTCCCCACAGCAAAAGAAGTTTAAGTGCAGTTATGGACAGCCCTTAACAGAACTCAATCCTGACTGCAGATGCATGATCACTATTTTTGTCTACCAAGGGAGCCTGATAAGTGATCTAATAAATGCTAAGATAATATTGTACAGAATATTAGAGATATTGGTGCAGGCTTTGGGTGATAGGGACAGAATAAGATGAGGAGAGAACAGCAGAGGCAGGCTGAAGATATGTAGTTATCTGATACTCTGTTGTGTCCAAGAAACACTCCCACATTTCCCCCCTTAATATTTGGGGAGATGAGAACTACCCCTTTGAAACTGGTTCTTTAGACCACTATTTTCATCATTCTTGTGAGGATTTTGCACTTCACAGTTCTGATCTGAAGCCACATTTTTCACAAAAAGATATTCTGTTGGCAAGTAAAAGGTACACTAAATTTGAAAGAATTCATTTTTAGATAAAAAAGTAAGAATGCAGATCCACATTCATTAGAAGAAACAGTGCATAGGTGACATCTTGTGTCCAATTTAGTAAAAGGCTGAACACTTCCTGACTGCACAAAGAGCAAATTTTCACTCCTTGACTCCCTAACTAGGTTAGGAGTGGCAGTCAGATACAGGCTTGTAATGTTGGCTGAGGCTAATACACACACAGCAGTCCATTTTTATATAAACTAAACCAGCCTAGCTTAACTATGTTCTGCAGTTATGTTGATAATGCTCTCTATAAAGTCATTAAGTAGTCAGAAAGTTCCATAAGATTATTATTTAAGAAACTGCACCGCACTTACCTGCATGTCCATTGCCAAGCCAGTTATCTGTCATTGCACCATTAAGGAAAACACAGCAAAACTTGATAGACTAGAATGACAAAAAGAAGCTCCATACACACAGAATACACATGCAAAGGCCTTTAATGTTTAAAATTAAAACAGCGTTCCTGTGTAGTATTAAGTTAACCACTGGAAAAAATGAAAAATGTCCAGTGATCTAGAGACTTACACACTTAGTTTCAATGATTGTTTTTCAGTAGCCTTTCAAGCTACCACCTCAAGTCATCACCCCAAAGGCTGACAGATGCACTGGCCTTCCCTCCGTGATGAAACTGACTAACTACAAACTCAATCAGTCCTTGCATAAAAGCATATTACAAGTTCAAAAGCTGGATTCGTTCATTAGGTTTTTTTGAAGACTAAAATGTTGGTTTTCTAACTAAAGAAATACCAGATCATAAAAAAACACCAGTATATTGCCACTGAGTCATAGAAAATAAATAATTTCTTGAAATGCATCAATGCAGGCTTTTAATACTACTCTCCTACCTTGAAACCCAAAGGATCTACTTGCTGTGGCAACTGCTGAGCAGAAACAATTGCTGAAGAGTTTTGCTATGATCAGAATGCTTTTAACAGTTCATGAACGTGTATAAAATGGCACCAAGCATTTTCCCAGATCGTGCATCCAGGTTGCTCCTTACATCATAGAGGGAACACGCAACTGGAAGCTTTTAAATAACCAGTTTGAAAGTAAGTCACGATCAGATTTATCTAATAGCTCACAGCCAACAGCCTGCAATCACAATGAAGCTGACGGTTTTCTTAACAACATAACTAAACACACATCACTTTCCTAGTTACTGCTGCGGTTCAGCAGGACTAGCAGGAATAGCAATTCCCTCCATACAGTGGAATGCAACGAGAGATAGTTAATCTATTGATAAAGGCAACAGCATTTCTACACGCTAGCTCTCCTGGCTGTATCTGGTTCACACTGATGTCACCACTCCCTTTTTTCCACATGCCGTGCCACCGCAAACTGCTACAAGGAGGTACCAACAGCACAGACAGCATGGGAGCATCTCCAAGGATGGAGGTCCCACAACCTCTCTTGGCAAGCCATGCCAGTGTTTTATTGCCCTTACAGTAAAAACGGTCTTTCTTATGTTTAAATGGAATTTTCTGTGCTTCATTTTGTGCCTGTTCTCTCGTCCCACCGCTAGGCACCAGTGAGAGAAGCCTGGCTCCATTTCCTTTACTCCCTCCCCCACTTGGATACTGTGCCCAGCTCTGGGGCCCCCAACATAAGAAAGACATGGACCTGTTGTAGCGGGTCCAGAGGAAGGGCATGAAAATGATCAGAGGGCTGGAACTCTTCTCCTATGCGGAAAGTCTCAGAGAGTTGGGGTTGTTCAGCCTGGAGAAGAGAAGGTTCCAGGCAGACCTTATTGTGGCCTTCCAATACTTCAAGGGGGCTTACAAGAAAGATGGGGACAAACTTTTTAGTAGGGCCTGTTGCAATAGGACAAGGGGTAATGCTTTTAAACTGAAAGAGGGTAGATTCAGACTAGGTATAAGGAAGACATTTTTTACAATGAGGGTGGTGAAACACTGGAACAGGTTACCCAGACAGGTGGTAGATGCCCCTTCCCTGGAAACATTCAAGGTCAGCTTGGACAGGGCTCTGAGCAGCCTGATGGAGTTGAAAATGTCCCTGCTCATTGCAGGGGGGTTGGACTAGATGACCTCTCAAGGTCCCTTCCAACCCAAACTACTCTATGATTCTATGATAAAACACCCCTGAGCCTCCTGTTCTCCAGGCTGCACAATCCCAGCTCTCTCAGCTTCTCCTCATGTGACAGATGCTCCAACCCTTTAACAATCTTCGTGACCTTTCACTGGACTCACTCCAGCATGTCCATGTCTCTCTTGTACTTGGGAACCTGGAGCTGGATGCAGCCCCCCATATGTCTCAAGGGCTGAGCAGAGAGAAGTAATGACCTTCCTCAACCTGCTGGCAATGCTCTGCCTAATGCAGCCCAGGAGGCCAGTGGCCACCTTTGCCGCAAAGACACATTGCTGGCTCATGGTCAACCTGGTGTCCAGCAGGACCCCCAGGGCCTTTTCTGCCAAGATGCTTTGCAGAATGTCAGTCCCCAGCCTGTCCTGGTGCCTGAGGCTGTTCCTCCCCAGGCGCAGGACTCTGCACTTCCCTTTGCTGAGCTTCATGAGATTCCTGACCAGCACATTTCTCCAGCCTCTAAAGATCCCACTGAATGGCAGCACAACCACCTGGTCTATCAACAGCTCCTCCCAGTTTTGTATCCGAGACCTAAAAGAAAAGTCAGGTAGAACAGCACAGCTCATGGAAAAACTGTTTCCCAACATTCCCAAACCAACAAGCCCAGCTTCTTGGAAGTTGGCTCAGTGCAGATATCACAACACTGCTTTCACAGACTCAGCTGACTTGTGCCCAGCAGGTAAAGGATCTCTCCACAAGGTACATGAACTTCCAACTCAGGGAATGGCAGAGATCAGACGCATTTGCACATGGCAGCTTAAACACCCTAAATTCACTCTTTGCCTACACGGCAATCCACGGAAGTGCCCAAGTGAAGCAATACAGCAAACACCATGGAAGCTCACACAGCACAAACTGAGCTTTATGTAAGCAGAAATTTAGTCCCCACATTACATACTTGTATTAGCACATTTATGAGTATTCTCCCTGCAAGCCAACTGCTACCTTTCCAGGAAGATTAAAAACTCACCTGTGAACATTTGCTACATTTTTAAACTGTTAGTTGCTAAAACCTGGTCTTTGAACATATTTCAAACAGAAACAGGAGAACGAAAATATAAAAGTTTGATGATGAGCAGAAGGATACAACAATGCAGATCCAGTTAAACAGGAGCATGAACATGTAATCTGCTGGCCTTCCATCAAAAGCCCCTGTAAATATAAAGAATTATTAGGAAAGGTACTGAAATCTTGGTAAGAAATTAAGACTTTTTTTAACTTTGGGGAGTCTAAGAAAAGCTCAGCTAATAACAGCTGTCTTACATGCAGTCTGTGGTTTATGATTTTTAATTTTAAAAAGTCCTATAATAGAACAACCTACAGACCAAAAAATAAGACATTCAGCCTACTGCATTAAGTGTACAAACAGCGTCTCTACTTAAAAAAGAACACATTTTAACTCCGGAGATATATGGTTTTAACTTCATAAGACTTCAAAATGGAGTTGGACCCCGTCCTTCACAAGAAACTGCCAGTCAGAAGCACACAATAAGGAAATACAGTTGCATAGCAAAAGCAGAGATATCAGGTTTAATGATCGAGTCATGTGAAAACCAGTCCTTACTTAGGCAAATTGCATCCTCTTTGCGTCATCTAGTCAGACTCAAGAGATACAATAGTTTTTACACTCCAGAAAAATTAACATAAGTGACAAGGAGGGTACACGTGTATAGCGCATTCTGTTCCTTCTTCTAAGCTGAACTGCTTGCCTAATTTCCCATTTCAAACATGTGACAATTTTTTTCAGGACAGTGGAAACAAAAATAGGGTAACATTCCGTGCAGGTCATACAAAATGAAATTATATTTAGACGCCCAGTTGAGTTTGGGACCTGGCAGAGAGAAGGGTTAAAAAATAAACCCCCCTAACAACTCCTTGCAACCATGAAAATCATAAGCCCTCACTCTTGCAAACTGTGGCAAAAGGCTGACACGGACCTTGGCATTTGAGCAAGACTCCTGTCAACTTTCATATAGCTCCATACAGGCAAGGAAAGCCTGAGAATATTGCTGAAACAGTCCCAAACCACACAGTGACAAACACAGAGCGCCACAAACAAGCTAAATTACATGCTAATAATTAAACATCAAAATGCCTAGAAAGAAGGCGACTGCTTAATGTTAGCACTATTTGGCTTCCTACAACTACTTTACATGTCCCCAGAAATGTAAAGAAAGAAAATCTATTTTTAAGCATTAGCTTGTTAGAGTAACTAGAGTAACTCAGCCTATGTAAAACAAAATTGCTATTTTAGTCAGTTCAGTTTATTATTTAAGTTCAACCATGTAAGTTACATGACGGGGGGGGAAGATACAAACCAAACCCCAACTTTGAAAAAATCTTTTGGAAGGTTTTAAAGTTGGAGAACTGAATAAACTGGAGCCCTCTCCTTACTGTTGCCATACAACAAATAGAAACAAATAAAGAGAGGAAGCTGACTAAACCTGTAGAAACTCCAGCACAGGAATTCCTCCAGAATATGAAGAAATCAAAGCAAATATTATTCCCTTAAAGTTTTTCACTTCTTGTTATCTAGGAGGTTACCAACAAGAATATTAGACAAACTATTTAAGTTGACTTTCCAATTAATATTTAAGAAAACTGAGCTACAGACTGCCAAAAAGTTCAGCTCAGGGGCGAGGTGAACTCTAGCCCACTTGGTCCTTCAGTAGGGCCCCAGGTATGTCCAGTCATTGGGGAAGAGCTGCAGACTCATAATCTCATCATTCATACTGCTGGGGAGTGAACTCTGCATATTCTGCTTTCTTGGTATTTGTTATGTTGTTCTCCAATAGAAACAAAACAAAACCACATCAATCTCCTTTTCCTTAGGAAGCTAGAGGTCAGCTTGTTAGGAAAGCACAAGCACAGTACAAAACCACATGCATATTTTTGACGGCTAAATTTGAAGCTAGAATGCAACACCAGTGTATGCTCAAAAACCACGTACAACCCTGAAAATAGAATTTTCACTTCCTCAGTTTCACAGACAAAAGAAGGCATAGACCTATGCTAATCTCCACCTGTAAACATATTGTCAGCAACTTCTACACTTTCTGCTTTCAGACAGATTCAAGCCTTTTTCATAGCAAGGAAGGACTGACCTAACCAAGAACTTCATTTATACCCAGAAAAATTACTGTAATATGAAAGAAATGCATTGATTCAAACAACACAGCTGACTTCCCAGTTTCAAAATCCAGATGCGTTGTACAGAAGAAATATAAATTTACTTCCTTCCATGAGACTTCTGACACATCACAGACAACTAGAGCATTCTCCAAGTATATGTACAAGCAGTGATGTCTTATAATTTGCATATTAGTATATCAGGAACTCTTAATACACATAGCTTTGCACAGTAGAATGTCATAACTGCCAGTACTCTCACGTGTTCATTATCTACTGCAGAAAGGCTCAAAGAGAAGGAGGAACTGTTTCTAGCTATTAAACTACTTACTTTCACTGATAAAACAATCAAATATAATCTGGCACCATGCCTCCCTTTCCCTGCTACTCTTCTTACAACTTAGAAAGGATTCCACAATACTCTCTGGATGACAGGTTTACCAGGGATTTCTTCTCTGCCATGGGACTTCCCAAATATCACCTTGCAACGCATTTCCACTTACACCATCAGTTCTGAGACTCCATTAGAACTACACTGAAATTCTTGTTCATAAATGCTTTCAGGAGGAGCTTAGCTTTGCAAATACTTTAATTACTTACTTCAATTGGAACAATTTTTGTCTAGCTTTAATAAACTTTGCAATGCAAATCAAAACCAGTTTTGAAGGTACCCTGTAATGACAATCTCTTTTTTGAGATAAACGATCCATTATCTTATCTCCTTTCTTCCACTCGTAATTTTTCCCCCTAACTGGAAATCCAACTAGTTCCTTAACTTTTTCACATTTCTATTTGACAGAAGGGTACACTTCATTTTTAAAAGGTATCTCTCAATTCAACATAACCAACAGAATAACACAGGTAAGCATCATTGCCTTTTAAAAAGAAAAAGAAAAGCTGACATTGTTATTTTCTTAGATATTCGTTGGAAAGTCAACTTAAATAGTTGATGGATATACCCATTAACACGGAAGGATGATAGAGCATATGTAATAAAGGACATCAGACAAGAAAACAGAGGTAACATTATCTTTTAGTCTCTATCCCTCATCTCCTGAAATCCAACAACTAAAAGCACCAGGCTCTCCTATTGAAAGAAGTATCAAGTTCAGATCCTAAATGAACAGGCTCCCTGCTGAAGGGAAGGAGCCCATCACAGAAAATCAGTTTTCAGTGCAGTTTCCCATTGACCAACATAAGTGGGTACAGAGATGAGCCATCTTTCTCACGATTCTGTCTGAATCAGCCACAACCCCATCACCACAAGCATTCCCAACAGAAGCTGTATCTGACAACGCGTAGTCTCTATCAACTCCAGGCAGAGTTCACCATATGCATACAATTTAACGGATAACATACCTGTTTCTAATCGTGATGAATATTGATACAAGAAATACAAATTCACCAGGTAGAGAAATCCCGTTCCAGGTCCCACTGGGAAGAAAAAAGTTGCAGTTATCGGCCGCCAGATCTGTCCAAATCAAAAGAGAAAGATATATTTATATACTGTAGAATGAACTCATATGTATAGGTTTTCTGTTTTCATTCATTATTGTCCTGGTTTCAGCTGGGATAGAGTTAATTTCCTTTCTGGTAGGTGGTATAGTGTTATGTTTTGTGTTCAGTATGAGAAGAATGTTGATAACACACTGATGTTTTCAGTGGTTGCTAAGTAGTGTTTAGACTAAGTCAAGGGTTTTTCAGCTTCTCATGCCCAGCCAGCAAGAAGGCTGGAGACGTACAAGAAGTTGGGAGGGGACACAGCCAGGACAGCTGACCCAAACTGGCCAAAAGGATATTCCATACCATGTGATGTCATGCTCAGTATATAAACTGGGGGGAGTTGGCCTGGGGGGATTGCTGCTCGGGAACTAACTGGGCATCAGTCAGCAAGTGGTGAGCAATTGCATTGTGCATCACTTCTTTTGTATATTCCAATCCTTTTATTATTATTGTCATTTTATTATTGTTATTATTGTTATTATTATCATCATTAGTTTCTTCCTTTCTATTCTATTAAACTGTCTTTATCTCAACCCATGAGTTTTACCTTTTTCCTTCTGATTCTCTCCCCCATCCCACTGGGTGGCAGGGGGAGTGAGTGAGCGGCTGTGTGGTGCTTAGTTACTGGCTGGGGTTAAACCACGACAGTTATCAATTACTTGGAAGATCCAGGAGGAGATTAAAAATAGCCCAAGTATCAGTTACTGCTGCTTCAGCAGCTTTTACAGTTTGTTTTTTTAAATCCAAGAAGCAAAGCTATTAAGATTATAACAGAAATCACATACAACTTCCCAGATCGCTTCCATCACGTCTTCGCAGTATTGAGCCTTCGTTGCAGCGCAAAAGGGATATGCTTGCAAGGATGCCACCCTGTTTTAAAAGCACCCATACAGAACCCATTCTTACCTGTTGTACAGAGGCCAAGGAATTCACGTAATGGCCTTTAGCGTACCATTTGAGACAGCACACGCTGCTCTGAGCATTTTGCACCTGCCTTAGAGAGTCTCCCAACTATCAATATTGGGCACAGCCAACTGCATGGCAGCATGTAGCAAGGACAGAAAATATCTGGCCATTAATGAATGAGCTCTTTTAACTGGCAACATTTCCAAATAGAGTATTGGGATCCTGAACATTACCATTCCAGAAGGAATAACAGAACTAGAGGAAAAAACAAGTCATTTAAGCTACTAAATTTTGGGGACAATACATGAAACAAACTACAGATAAAGCCATCTTTTTATCTTTTTTGCACTTAATCTTTTTCACTGAAGATATAATGGACACGTATAATAGCAATTGAAAAGTTGGGATCTTTTCCCTTTCTTCCCATTTTCAGTTCATCCAATGGGCACTCTCCCTCTACACACCTGCATACCAAAACACTGAACCTCTAACCTCGCAATGCAAGGAAAAGGACTATGTCCAGTTTGTGACCACTGCTAATGCATCCAGAAACACTGTACATCTGAAACCTCAGGACCTGAGTTGTTAGTTTATGTCAACCATAGCCAGGCACAGAAGCTGACAATCCCAAACACAAGTTTTTTCAAATTCCAAGCAAGAAGGTGCAAGAGATGCACTTCTTTAGCTCTGCCTCAGTATCTCCAGAGCCACCTGCAGTTTAGGACAGTCGCAGACCTGCCTGTGACCCCTGTTCCCAAAGTGATGCCCACACAATCACACAGCAAGAGGCTGGGCAACTCACCTGAAGTCACAGCCACAGGTTTTATGATCACCGAGTGCCTTAGCACACCAACCGGTGACAGCCAGAACAGCTCCCCCAGAAAACGTAGGAAAATAAACGCCCCAGAACGAGACGCAAAACGAACTACAGGGCCCGTCAAGGCCCACAGCCCTCCTTGCCTCACCCAGGGGCCCCAGCAAGGCCAGGCACCGCAGCCTGTGTCACCTTGGTCGGGGGCCCGGGGCCTGCGGGGGCACAGCACTGGCTAAACCCTGGGCCCAGCTGACAGGCCTCACACCGGTTAAGCAGGAAGGCAGGCCCGGCTTCTCGCCGGAGGTGATCTGGGTCACTCCTAAGGGCCGCCTCCGTGCGCGATTCCCTCCCAACGCGGCCGCGGAGGCCGGGGCAAGGGGAACGCCCCCCAGCCCCGCACCCCTGCCAGCCGCTCACTACAACTCCCAGAATGCCGAGCGCGCCCCGGACTGGGCTCCCTTATGGCGCGGGCGCCGCAGGGCACGCCGGGACTGGTAGTGCGGCCCGTACCTGGAAGCGGTTAATGAAGGCGTCGGGCCAGAGGAAGAGGTAGACGGGGCTGACGAGGCCCAGCTTGCCGATGAGCGGCACCGCGATGGAGCCGGCGAACCAGTAGCGGGTGATGAGCGGGATGCTCCGGAACCAGTCCCCCAGGTCCGACATGTCGCGGCCGCCGCCGAGGCCTCTGCTACGAACCGGCCGCTGAGGGAGGGGAGAAGCGAGAGCCCGGCCGCGCTCCACCCGCTGGTCCCGCCGCCGCCCCGGGCAGGGAGGGGAACCCCGAACCCGACGTGGCGCCGCCGAATTCGGTCGAGCCGCCGCGACTTCCGGCCCCGCCCCCTCGGCTGCCGGGGCAACGGTGGCGCCGGAAGTCCCGCCTCCTCGGGGAGGGGGCGGGGGAGCGACCCGCCGTTGCCGGGTGACGGTGCCGCCGCTCCCGCCGGTGCCGCCGTGCCCGCGGGCTGGGCTTGCAGTCGGCCCCTTTCCCCGCAGCCGCGTTTAGTAACGCGAGGGGGCTGGTAACGGGAGTGAACCGGCAGTGAGTCCTGCACTTGCGAAAGCCTGAAAAAAAACCCTATTAAATGTCCCTTCGCATCATGTCCTTGCCTGATGGGGCGCGACGTTATAAGACAAAACCACTTTTTTTGTCAGACGTGGCCTCCACTTTATGAATTAACCGGCACCGACCGCGCTCCGCTCCCCCGTTCCCGCCACGGCCCCCCGCGTGACGCCCGCGAGGAAAACTACAACTCCCGGCAGTCCCCGGGGCCGCCGGGCGGGGCGGTTCCCCTCCCCGGCAGGCCTACCTCTGAGCGGGGGGGGAACGCCCGCCTCCTTCCTACTGCCCTCCATTGGTGAAGCGGGAAGCGGGCTGTACCATGCGTGCGGCGTCCCCCGCCGCGGCGGCCGTTGGAAGGAGCCCTGAGGGGAGGCGGCGAGCGCGGGAGCGGCGGCGGCGGGCCGAGGATGGAGAGCTCCGACCTGGGCGGCCGCCAGCAGGGCCCCATCTGGCACCGCAAGCCCTGCCCGGCGGCGCGGCGAGGGTAACGGCCATCCCGGTCCATTCCGGTCCCCGCGTAGCGCTGCCGCCTCAGCTCGCAGCCGTGGCCGTCCCCGGCGCTGCGGCGCGGAGAGGCCGAGGGAGCGGGCGGGAGGGGCAGGGCCAGGCCGAGGCCACCTGAGCTTCTGCAGCCCGGGGATGGATGCCCGGTTGGATAACGGGGAAGAACGTTCCCGTTGAAGGTGGAGCAGGTCCCCAAGGAGGCAGGGAAACCTCCATCCTCGGAGGGGCTCGCAGCTTGACTGGGCAGTTATCCCACTTTAGCTTTTCGGTTTTAATTGTACTGAACAAAATACCGTGGGTGAATCCCCAGAGTTTAATTAAAATGGGAAATACTAAGAAAATACAGCCTGGCCCAAGCTGAAGAGCAGCAGTCTGAATCCTGCCTTGGGGTACCTGTATGGTGTTTGACCTGGGGGATCCAGGTGCTGCTCTGGGAACTCCTGACTTTATTCTCCTGGGTTAGTTTAGTGGCAAAGGAACTTTTGAAAGGCAGAGTGCCCTGTTGGGGAAGTCCTGGGACATGCTGTAACTATGCTGAGAAGTGCTCACATTTCAGGGTGTTTTGAGAATAAGAAGCCGTACTTTGCGTGGGGGGGGGTTGACGACATTGAAGACCCTGACATCACTAAATTTTAATTATAATTTAAAATAGCTTAACATCTTTGTAATTTGATTTTTGTGGCCCTTCCCTTTTATTGCAGAAAAGAATGGGCTTAACAGAATGAAGTGCAATTAGTTTTGTCTCTTGTCTGTACCGTGGCTGCATGGCCCTTCTTCTTCATCTGATATTCACTCAGGCGTTGTAACATACACCAAGAGTTGCATGGAAGTGCTCAGTTTCATATTCTGCTCTCTTAGAAACTGATGTCTCAGATAGCTATCAGTATCTTATATAGCCATGGTCACAGACTTCTGCAAGTGCCCTGCAGACTTTAATCAGCCTGCCAAAATCCTATATAGTTTTAGATATTTAGTTTGACTCTGAATTTACATCCAAGTGATGATAGAACACAATTGGTTTGCCCACTGTTAGCCAAAAATTCCAGGAGTAGCAGATGTCCCAGATGTTAATGTCCTGCTTTCTGGAAAAACGTTCCTCTTACGGCTTAGTCTGCACATGGGCTTCAGTGCTGCAGCTGGGTCCGTTTTATGCTGACAGCATGGTACAAGGATAGAATGTGAAAAAACCAGCAACTTTTGTTCCATAATATCTCAGATGAATAATGATAAAAAAGGCTTCCTTCATGCATTTGAAGACTCTGGAAAGAAGTGGTATTAAAACTGATTTCCCCCCACATCTAATCGGAGTGGTTTCTTACAATAATTCATAGCTTCTCAGTTTTCTAGCATGTTTCTTCACACTGATAATGAAGAGCCAGGTTCCTTGCTGAGTGCTGAATTGGGCTTTCAGATACATTAGTAGATGATATGTCAGCATGTATGTTAGTGTTATTCATTAATAACATAAATTAAAATCAGGTAGCCAGGAGCCACATAAAAGGATCGCGAATGGTATTTCCCCCGTCTGCTTTACATGTCTCCTAATTACCTTCCAATACAGTGAATGACTTCCTTTCTTTAGTATATTTTTTAATATTAGAAATACGTGTTTTTCATGGAAGAAGATTGTAGCGTTCGCCACATATCAGGGTGCCACTATTAGATCACTGGTCGGCCCGGACCAGGGAAAGAGACAGATAACACACACAGTGTGAGCGCCAACTTCCGCCTTTTGTTGCGCAGTTAATTCCTTTTATACTAACAAGGGTAGGTGGGATTACAGATACATCATAAGGCTGCGACTAACCCTCTAACTTTCCGTGACATCGCGAGATCTTCTGAACGCCGAACCCTACAGAAGATTTTTCATAGACCACTATGAATGATTAGAATTGTAAAACCATAAGCTAGGAATATTTTAATCCTAGGTCTTGGAGAAATACCTGTAAATAAAATGATTCTAAGCATGGTTGTTTTGCTTGCTTTCTTCACAGAGTTATAGTAAACATAATTCATAGTGTCAAAGGATACCATTCAAAGACAATACGTTTTCTGAATGTGGCTTTTGACAGTTCCGGAGATTCTCTACTCGCTGGAGACCACCAAGGGAATATATATGTTTTTGACTTGAATGGAAACAGGTAAGAGTATTTCTATCAAGACATTTTAATTGTCTTGACATCTGTAACATTCAGGAATATGGAACTTGCCTGGACAGCGTGCCACAGGTTTGGTTTTAACCCTCAGTTTTCCATGAATGTGGAAATAGATAGCAGTTTGCTCAGAGCTGAAACTACAAGCCAGTGTCTCATGTAGGCTCCCTAAAATTATTTTATTAGTTTAGCTGCTCCAAAATACCAGAAGTTTGTAACTCCAAACTGAACAGACAGCAATTTCATAGAACTTAAATACTACCACTAGAAGTTGTTCTTTGAACACTACCGATCAATTAATAATAGGAGCCATAAATTACAATAAATTGGACTTAGTATTGTCATTTGCAGAAATACATTAATCACTCTTTTCAGTTTTATACTACTGATTTTTAAAATATTAGCACTGATTTTTAGATTATTATAATTAGATATGATTTATTTGCTCCCTTTAGAGTTTATTTTTTCTCTCAGTGAAATATATTGAGACTGAGTATGTTATTACTTCACTTGACACGGACCAAAGTTTCCTAACACAATGAGAATGTGTGTTTTTAAATAGGTTCAACCTTGTTCAGCGAACAATGCAGGCTTGCACTGCTTTGGCATTTAATCTTCGCAGAAAGACAGAATTCCTGGTGGCTTTGGCAGATTATTCCATTAAGTGCTTTGATATAGGTAAGGAGAGATTTAAAGGCTTACTATCTGGATTGCTATAAAAACCTATATAATTTTAGTTTTGATCTCAAATTTTTCTAAGTTTTTTTGGTGGAAATCTTACTAGTATTTCATGCCATCTGTCCAAAAAAGAAAAGTTTGGGCCCATGTGGGTTACAGTCCTGTGGGTAAATGAACCCTTTGCTCTGTCAAAGTTTCTTGTTCCCACTGAGTCACGCAGGCATCTGTTTAACTGGATTATAGCAAAGGATCACAATTCTGTACGTTACCTTTTTTAAAAGCAATTCTGTATATGTTTGCTTAGAATGAGGTGCTCTATGCAAAATCAAACCAAAATCACTTGACAGTATGCTAGTTTGCAGCTGAACCAGTTATTAACTATATTTACAGTAAAATATTTGATAAAAGAACTAAAAGAACTGTTAATGCTTTTGAGTATGCAAGTAGATCTGTATCCTTGTTCAAAAGCGATATTTAAAATTGATTTCACAGGCCAGCTGTGTGTCTGTCTTGATTAGAAGTTTAATGGTGAAACGCATTGACAATTCATTCTTCATAAATTAATCTTAACCTATCAAAAAGTGCAGTTGTAGAGTCTCATATCATCTGGATTTAAATGTTTTTAAAAAGCTGTAGGAATCACTCATCTGCAGTTTGAGAGTTTGAGTCTGATATTATGAGTGAAGATCTTAATGTAACATGGTTTCCCGAAACAGAGGAAGAGTCAGAGTTAAGGTCTGAAATCCTCCATGCTTTTTCTCCTCCTTTCAACCACAGTAAGACCAAACTTAGATTTTGGATGCACTTAGAGAAATCTTAATTTTTCCAGAGTCCTGCATGTTTATATGGTGCTGTTTCCAGATACCAAGTCACACTGAAGAATGTTTAAAAATAGAAGTGTTATTCACATAAGTTAGTATTGGATGAACTATCCTTAGAGGTGTATTAGATAATACTTAGTTGGCGGGCTCCATCCTCTTCTTTAGAAGCCATACGCTGTAATCCCATGTCATCCTCCCAGGTGACAATAGCTTTAAGCACTCAATTGTCTGTAAGCACAGCAGAAAGTTTGACTGTTAGGCTTTATAAGCTGCTTTATAGCCATTTCCCATCTGATGCCACAGCAGTAGGTCAGCTGGAACTGCCCCATGGTCTGTCAGGCAAACTACCCAATGTAAATAGCGTAATAGCCATGAACACAGTTTGGTTGCTGAGGGAAGATTAGTGGTCATGCAGTCACAAGTGGGAGACAATGTAGTCAGGGAACCATTTCCTTAGTATGCAATATACAGCATAAAAATGTTTTGGACTCTAAAAGAATTAATGAGGTGTTGCTTTCTGACTGTGCCTTTCTATAGTCATAGCCTGTTGTCATTAAACCTTTCTTCCTTGCACCTGTAAAT